ATTCATTTTTATTACTTCATTTCCCCCACAATCTCCTTTCTTTCTCTCCTCTCCTTTCTGCACTCATCAAGTTGTTCCATTTCAAATCAATGGATCATTTTTCTGAACAGCCTTGAAATTTTTGCCTATGCTTCCATAGGAGGCAAGTAGTCAGAAACCTCTTTCAATATCCTCAAACTCCAAATAAAAATCGAAAAAGAGACCATTTAAAAAATACAAAGGGGAATCTGTTTATAAACCATGCAAAAACTCATCAGTTCCTTTGAACAAAAAGTTTTTACATAAATATTAATACAGCATCCTCATAAAGAAAAGGAGAAAATGAGGGCTTTCATGAACAGGTTAGAAGAAACAGATGCTAAAGTATCTATTGGCAAACAATTTAGAAAAAATACGCTACATGGATGGGAATTTCTTTACATGGATGGGAATTTTGCCCCTTACTTGCTAGGTCACTAGGGACACCAAGAACCATCTTAAATAGACAGTAGTGAATTCAGCATTCAGTGGTGGTGATCAGCTCTGTCAAGTCTTAAATTAAGCAAGCATCTCTTTCTTCTCTGAAATGGGGGACAGCTTAAATTGCAATGGCCAGCAGGAATACACTGCTGTAAGCTTACTACTTATAAGTGCATCGTAAGAGGATATAAAGACTAAACAAATACTGAGTAGTTATAGTTTTAGACTTTCCCATTAAAAGTGCATAGAAGAAAAGGCAGTTATAAAAGGCTGAAAAATCCCTGGATTTGAATTGCCACATCCCTGCTATAAAGAGAACAAGGAAGTAACAAAATTGGTATTTTGTATGATACTTGGTCAGTAGGGATGCTTTCTTGCAGTCAGGTCCTCAGGCAAAGAGTTCAACTCAGATTTAAATAAAATATTCAGAGAGTAACATTCTCTAGGTCTCCCAAAGATGATGTCAATATGTAACCTGGGGAATGATCCAGGCCATTCCCACCTATTTAGACTGCCTTCTATCTAAATCTGACCCAAAAATTCACATCCACCATGTTTCCCATCAAGAGTCCTTCTTTAAGCCCAAGAGGAAACTATAACCTGCAGGCAGAATACATTTGGGGAACTGAAGAAATCCTGGGCCTAGTGAAAGGAAAGCAAAAGTCCTATCACTTTAACAGAGCCAGAACTACACCCTTAATCTCACTTATGAATAGTCTTCTTCCATCATAGTGGCACATGGAATTTTTCAGAGATTTAAGTCAGAAAGTGTTAGATTGGCTGGTTTGACCTCTGTATTGTAGGCAATACGTTTCAGCCACATACCCCTATATTAAGCCCAAAGACTTTGATTAGTGTAAAGCATTTTAATCATCAGGACACTAAATTATGTGCTAGACTAAGAATAGGAAAAATGAATGTACCACCAGGTCCAGAGCCCCTGTAATGCCTTGCAGTTAAATCACCCAGGCCAAAAGAAGAGGAGTGGGTGGAACAAAACAAAACCCAAGGTCAATCTGCCCATTTAGCCAAGGAAAAATTCCTTGTGACACCAAATCTTTCAATCAGAGAATGCCTCAGCAAGTCATACCAGCTAGGAAACAAGAGTTCCATCCCTGAACACTTATTCACCCTTCCCTGTGTCCCATCTCCAGCTATGGAGAATCTCTGATGCTTAAGAGGAAAGTGGAAAAAAACCATACGAGTCAACTGTACGTTACAGGGAGGGGTGGCAGAAGGGGTAAGGGGAAGGGAAGGGAAGAAAAAAAAATCTTTCCTGACTCCTACATGTCACCAGCTAAAACTCTGAAACATGATATAATTATAATCTTTGTCACAGAGCTGAACATTTAATAAGTATGCAGAAGACAAGGCAGAGCTTTGTGTTCTCCCAAGACTCATGAAGGAAATGAACAGACATATTCAAGGGACCACAACAATGATCCAACCTAATCTGTTCCCTGTCCCACAAACACACACACCAGACCTCAGAATTTCTCCCAGAAGTTGGATAGAAGCATATTATTAAAATAGCGCACACCAAAAAACAAACAAACAAAAAATCCCAACAACAATCCAAATCAAACCAAGCCAAAAAATCCCTTATACTCATTTTGAAGACAATGGTAAGTCTACCACAATCACTAGTAAATTGCCTGTGTTAGTTACACTGAAGGATAAGAAATTGGGTCTTATTACAATGCTGAAGTGGTCAAACTTTAATTTCTAACCAGTGGATCTTCTTATGCCCTTGTCAGCCAGACTGAAAACTGACACAATCAGGTCTCTTTTTTAGGCTTGCTTCCAGCCTCTGAATAATGATTGTTACCATCTTCTGAACTCCATCCAGGACACCAGAACTGGACAGTGTTCTAGTACAGGTCTTTACACAGCATTGGCTACATCCTTCCATTTACTTGATATTCCCTTTGTATATGTTGTCTCAGAGATTTTATATCATCAGGTAAAGGATGATACTGTTAGAAAATATAAATACTTTGTAGCATTGAACAAAAATCCATTCTCAGGGTCCTCTTTCCCCTATGAAAACAGCCACATTCATCAATATCTTCCATTTAACAATATTTGGAGATGGGTCGGTGAGCCAGCTTTTAATTAATCTAATGTGAATTGTATTAGTTTTATTTAATGTAAACTGTTTAATCCAAGTTGAATCCTTTGAAAAAGCCGAAGTCATGTATCACATTCTTTTTTATCAAGTAGACCTGCACTTTTGTCAAACAAATCTATCTTCTTTTCTTGACAAGACTTTTTTCAAGTATTAGGAAAAGCAAGCACTTATGGGTAAGTCCATGAACCTGTGATATTCATTTTCTCACATC